AATCCTGGAAGGGGAAGACAAAAAAATTCAAGAATGTAAGTCGAGTTGGAACTTGCCGCCAAGAAATGGATTTTGTTCAGAGCAGAATGTCTCAGGTCAGAAAACATGGGGAAACTACAGGAATCAGTTTTAGACTTTTACAATGATTATGGATGAACTCTGATGATCTATGGCTACAGACATCGCGTGTACATATCTATTATTGAAAACTCTTTCGGGAGCTCCTCGACCTCAACAAAGCTATGGACTGCTTGTCTTCTGGGGATCAATACCGATAGCAGCTTCACCAGATGCAGTCAGAAAGCTGTGGAGAATTTCCAAGAATTTTTGAAATCAACCTCCGCCGTCTCGTCGATTTGGTCTACCAAAAAGCAAAATGCAAGAACGACTATAGCGACCGAAAATTATATTATTGGAACTAGAGATATGGATGTATAGAAAATGCTGCTCATAGTTAAACCATTAAGTAGAAGCAAAGCTCTAACCAAGTCCCTAGAAACTGAAGCGGCCCATAAGATATCCGAGTCCGAATCAAAGAACCGCAGGAAAAAAAAAAAAGAAAAAGAAGAAATTAAAAGAAACATAATAATGATGGAACTTCTGGAAAAAATACAACAGGTTGTTACCAGAATCAATAATGAAAAATTGAAAAACAAAAGCCAATAAATACCGTTGCGGAAGAAGAACACACTTCAAGTGTAACTGTTAAGTATGGACAGGATCTCGATCTCCTTCTTGTGACGCTCGGCCTTCAGTGGATAACTTGAAAGCAGGCACCGCTGGCAAAGAAGAGGACGTTACAAATTTAACTATAGAGTAGAGATCTCGTTCTCCTTCTGATGACTCTGAGCCTTTGATGGAGAAGGCGCAACAGTACGATTTTAAAATCAAACATCGTTCTGGTAAACTGCATAACGACGCAGATACCTTATGCAGGCGACTGATGCATACAGAATGCAGGTAATTCCTCATAAATTATCATTGTGGAAAAGTTAATGTTAGCCCAATTAGAGCTTCAAATCGCCACCAAACTGGTGGGAAGAAAAATCGACTACTGATTCAGAAAATCAATATTATGCCTTCAAACGGACCCTCTAGAATGTCGTGACAAGGCGAATGGCAGCAAGGCAGTCAACAAGGTACAGATGATAATTTTTCTAGTTGTCCCCACACAGGCACGAGGGGACATTATTTTCAAATCGTAATAATCTGAAAAGCTGCTGCTGGAGCATGATAGATGGAATGGGTAGGGATCTGAGTGAAAGTACAAGGCTCAAGACGAGACGATCTGATTTCTGATTTGAGAGAGGCAGTGCAAATAAATATTTACGTGATTTTTCTTGATTAAATGCTTTTGTATAAAAAGCGCGTAGTTGTAGAGGGTTATAATAAGAGAATCGTTGCACAAGGTTAAGTAATAGTCAATGAAAGTTGCTACTGCAGTGAAGAGAATTTTAGCGGACCCGCGGAATATGTCATTATGTATTATTACCTGTGTTATTACTTTTCAAGGAGAGTAATTAGGAAGTGTGAGAGTAGGCAACCAACATAGACGTCCAGTCTTGAGTGTTGCATACCTAGGAGAGCGGAATAAAGGCGTGGCCAGTATTAAAATGGAACTTGAGTTTTATTTATTATACTCGTGTTTAATTATTAAATAAATAAATTAAAACAAAACGTTACATGGCGCAGTCGGTACTAAAATTAAATTAAAATTGCTCAGAAAAGCTCGAAGCTCAAGATTCGTGAAAAAATCGTGTGCTCAGTGGTTTCTAATGTAAATGGTAAAAAAATTTAGTCCTAACCTCAGTTGTTCTAGGCAATGGGGGACAATCGTGGCATTGCGACCTTATCCCTGAGGGGAAACATTTCCGAAAACTGGAAACTATGGAGATCCCGTTTGGACGAGCAGACGCAATTTGCCCAATGTTTACATTATGTTGGAGACGAAGCTTTCAAGGTTTATACTACATTTAAATTTGAAGACCATGAGAAAGGAAAATTGAACCCTCTTTTGGAGAAATTTGAACACCATTTCATAGGCAAAGAAAATATTGCCAATGAAAGGTATAAGCACAGCTTGTGTAGTATAAGTTTTTCACTTGTCGCCAGGGGGAGGACTAAACAACTCACGACTTCATCCTGGAAGTTGGAAATTGGCAAGCGAATGCAATCTCCAAACTTTGAAAGATGATCTAACCCTCACTGTGACCACTTATGATATCAAAAATGATGCTGTCCGCGAGAAATTGCTACAAGAAAGTAACCTTACACTAGAAAAGAGCACCGAGTGGTGCCAAGTGATCGAGTCTGCAAAAAGTCGAAGCATAGTTATAGGACAGGGTATGCAGGTGAAAAGTGAGGTGGAAGCAGTCTACAGAGGCCCAAATTACAGACAGAAAGTGGTTAAAAATTGCCTTAAGTGTGGTAGAAGTGAACATTTAATAAACAAATGTCCGGCATTTGGGAAAACTTGTTCCTACTGTAAAACTTTAAATCACTTTGCAGGAGTATGTTTTGAAAAGAGAGGATTGGAGTCGGGCAGAAGACCAGTAAATGAAATTACAGAACAAACCTCGGAAGATGCTCGAATAAGTTTCATTTCAGGAATGGACTCTGAAATGAGTTTCCTTTATGTTGGTAGTATAGATCAAATGCAAGTAAGTAACCTATAGAGCTCATCGCAATCAGTGGCGTACAAAATTGCTAATTAAAAACCATATTGTTGACCTTAAGATTGACACTGGGGCTATGGCTAATATTTTGCCTTATAAAACTTTTAAATCGCTTGGGTTTTCAAATAAAAATTTAAACATTTGTAACATGTCACTTCATTCATACACAGGCGATAAGTTGAATGTACTTGGAGCTGTCTCATTCCTTGCGCAAGAAATAATATTGTTTATAACCTAAAATTTTACATTGTGAACTCCAATACTGAATCAATTGTGGGCTTGAATGCTAGTATCAACTTAAATTTAATAATGAAAATTGATTCAATACAGTCAAATGACACATATACAGGGTGTCCCACGGTGGATGGCGTATTAGACGTTTATGGAGAACTAAAAAGCGGATCTTTTTGAAAATTTGGCAACCGGGATAAACGACCATGATCTACACTTTAAAAATATTTTTGACCATGCGGTGTTGCCGCTTCTACTCTAAACTAGTGGCAACAGCACTATTTTAAATGGAACTCCGTATTAAATTGCATATTTGGATTCTACGTAATATTCTGAGCAGATTTCATGTGATATACCCTATACCTAAGTTCAACTGTTTTGGAAATATTGACAGTTGAAAATTGACTTTTTGCAACTTTGACAGGCTGTAAGAGGATTTAGATGAGCTCGAAAAACAAAAAATAATTCAAAGGGTGCAGGGAGCTTCAGATTAGGTGAATCCCCTAGTGATTGTTCGCAAACCATATAATAAATTACGCATTTGTTTAGATACCCGAGACTTGAACCAAGCAGTAAAAAGAGAACATTTTAAAATTCCTACCCTTGACCAGATAAGTAAATTGGCAGGTGCAAGGTTTTTCAGCTCACTGGACGCAACTCAGGGACTTTACCAGATCCCTCTGGACGAGGTAAGCTCAAAATTATGTACTTTTGGTACTCCAATGGGGAGATATAAATTTTTGAGACTTGCTTATGGGATAAAATCCGCGCCAGAAGTATTTCAAGCTCGGTTTAAAGAGATTTTTAATATAAAGGGAGCTGACACATACAGAGTGTCCCATAAGTTACGGTCCAAACTGAATATAGATAGAGGAGGTCATTGCCGACAAAAGAAACTCTATATTATGTTACCATGTAATTCTTCACGGTTTTCAAGATATACGAATTTTATTGATTTTACCAAACATGGTTACATTGGTTAAGAAAAGAAATTTGCAAGTAGAGTAGAAAAAAAAGTATTAGAGATTTTCAGACCAATGTGGCCTTAATTGAATAAGGATAAATCAGGGTAGTTTTAACTCATATGGGTCACCTTTTTTCATCTTTGCTTTCTAAATTATTATCATTTGAACTTTTGCTGTGAATTGAATGAAACAAAAATAAGATAGAAAAACTCCCTTTAAGTTCTTTACCAAAAAGACAAAACCTTACATACTTATAAAAGCTTAAAGACAGGCATTCCTGCTCATAATTAGAAAAACAAAATCAATCATGGGTTCGTTAGTTTTAACCAATGTAACCATGTTTGTTAAAATCAATAAAATTCGAATATCTTGAAAACCGTGAAGAATTGTATAGTAACACATAAGGTTTTTTTTTTGTCGGCAATTACCTCTATCACCCCTTTCAGTTTCGACCGTGGCTTATGCGACATTCTGTATAGGTACATAGATTTTTATTGCTATTGCGTTTTGGCAGTTAATCAGATTGATATCAAAATAGTATATTGTTTTATTAGGAGTAAAAGTGATACTTTTTGTGGTGAGACTAAATGTTTGACGGCCGAACGTAGTGAGGCTGACAATTTTAGACGAGCCACAAAAAGTGCTTTTATCCGAATAAAACATGCGATTTTTTCCGCAAACGGTGTTCAAAGCGATGGAATCCAGGAAATTTCAGTGACGTCACTTTTTTGTCCGGCCGTGAGCGTACAAAAAAGTACTTTTTTGTACGCTCACGGAACGCGCGGACAAAAAAGTAACCAAAAAAATGACGTCTGTGAAGTCAAACTTCAACATTAAGAATTGAGGTTAAAAAAGTCGTCATTTTTTGACGTTTGCAGAAAAAAGTATTTTTTTTTTTTTCAAGAAAAATCAAGTACTTAGCTTGAAAAACTTGATTTTCAAGTTAATTGATTTGTAACTACTTGACTTGACTTGAATTTCAAAAACAAATACTTGACTTGATTTTCAAGCTACTTGACTTGACTTGACTCGTGAATCTGTGATTCCAACAACCCGCAATATTGAAACTAGAAATAATAAATGATGAAAGTTAATCAGTATCGTCACTATCGTCACACGTAATACTCACCATCAGAGCATGGTGGTCCTTTACAAGGTTTTCTAGTAGGTGGTCTAGCAACTGTTTTACATGCATCGCCAGCAGGTTTTTTCGTCCCGTACCAAACGCAATGAAACGTACGGTATTTTTCGCCTATTCTATCACATTTGGCATTGCACTGTAAAAATTACAATTATCAATGCTTTACATAAATCCATAGTCAATTATCACCTTTGACCAAGTTCCAACTTTCCATTTGCCAACGCATTTTGCGTTGTAGCATTCTTGATGCTGCGGTGGTTTATCAGCTATGTCGCATTGATTAGCGTTGACTGTCAAATTTCCAGCTATTTGACATTTTACAGTTCGCTTTTGCATAGCTGTGGAAATATGCATGCAATTAAAATGTTAAGCATAGATTACGCAAATGATCTTACCCTTATGTGATCCAAAACATTTTGATTTTTCACAAGGGTGCCAATCGGAGGTTGTCCATTCGGGACACTCGTCAAATCCACATTTTCTGCTTGTATCTGGAATTGGAACCCCAGCGTCTTCACATAAATGATTATCAGCTGCTTCAGTACTGTTATGGAATATTACAGTACATCTGGAATTAAAAGGCCGTCAGCAAAAAAATTGAAATGTAGAAATCTCGAAACAATAAAAAATTTAGTTAAGTAGGTATCAAATTATTTTGTTGGAACATTTTCATCTAGGTATTCTATTTATAAGGGTCACGAACCTTGCAGTTCTTATCTGGAACCCATTTCCACCGCAAGTTTCTGAACATGTCGACCAGTCAGTTAGGATCCATTCAAATTTCAAATTTTCTTTATCGCCTTTTCCCAAAACAACTTCATTTACGTCATCATCAGAGTCCGTAGCGGGAACAGCTTGGTCTGTAGCAGGAATTTGTTCCGGATTAACTGGAAAAGTGACCATCCTGTGTCCTCTGGAAGCTTGCGGTTCAAATTTGAGTACTTGAAATGGCCAAAGACTCTAAAGAAATTAAATTCTGAATAAGTTTATTGAATAAAAATTATTAAGCTTCATAAACGTATGTTGTTGTGATATAGATATAGATTCACTCGTGAAAGTTCTGAAAATGAGGTTTTTTACCTTTCGAAAGTCTATTCAAGAAAAATAGTCAATTTGTCTGGAAAATATTGCCTAAAATACTACTTTAAAAGTCTGGAAAGTTTGCGAGATACAAAGCATAAAGTTTTGATAAAAGTTCATTTTCTTTATATTTGTTTTGTTTTACCGTTTTATCAGTTTGCAGGAAAACATCGTGATATTCAATGATACATCGCGACAAAATTTAATTTAGAAATCTTAAATGAACATTTACGAAACTTCCTCAAAGTCTTACCAGAATAATTACAACTCTCTCCTAGAATCTACCACACTAATGACAAGAAACAAAGTTCGACAATGCTAAACTCTCTAACCTGTATTTTGGAGATTAACGAGAGAAAGTTAGGCAGGACGCGACTCGCCGAACTCCTGCTAGAATCTCCAGTATTCAGCGAAGGGCTCGAAGGTGGGTTGGGGATTATGTCCTGCTGCTATGCCGCAGCGCATCGGAAAAGCGAGGATGGAATTGTTAGTACGTATTAAATATTAGTCTGGATTAACCCACACCAGATGCGAAATTGTATAGTTTTTCCATTATAGATTTTCGGATAAGAGCAAAGGTGTTTATTTTCTTTAAAATTGTGGCCCATGTTTGCTCCGTTGACTGCGCGGAACAATTATTTTTATTTGGTATTTGGGTACAAAATGATTGTCATTATAGGTTTATGACTCGCCCTTTGAGAGCGGACAACCCTACACGTTTTATTTTTTGATGTCAATAAAAATGTGTTATCCCTGTCTACCTATATTATTAAGTAAATTTTGTAAAAGAAAAGTTGACAATTCATATTTAATTTTAAGACTGGTCGAACTCTTTATTGACATAAAATCAAATAGGTATGCGAGGATTTAAAGTAAAAAGATTTTAAAAAAATGAAATGGAAGTTATATTTGTCGATTACTTGACTGAAGGAAAATTGAAGGATTGAAAAATTTGGGCCTGGGCGGGATTCGAACCCGCGCCTCCGCATTGCCGGTGCGTTGATGTACCAACTAAGCCACCCAAATTTTTCAATTTTCTTTCGACTTTTCTTCAATTAATTTTCATCGGTTTTCGGTTAAGTAACCGACAAATATAACTTCCATCCCACTATTGCTTATGCGGCTTTGCATTACACTGAATTTGAAAAACTTATTGACGAGACCTATACCTATAGTAATAGGGTAACTTATTCGAAGTAGAACCGATGCCATAAATGTGTGGTTCTATTGGAGGATTGAGAAGTTTGGGCAGTAAGCGGAGAACCACGCATGGTTGGTAGAGTAACGCACCGGCAATGCGGAGGCGCGGGTTCGAATCCCGTTCAGGGCCCAAATATTTCAATCCTTCAATTTTCCTTTAACTCTTCTTCAATTAATTTTAAAAAGATTTTACACTGAAAGGCAGAATCAACTGTTTAATCTGGAACTCTTGAACGTCGAATTATTTTTACATTCTTAAATGTGGATCTGAAAGATAAAGGATGTGATTTTTATGGTTTGAAGATGGATCATCATGTTCCAAGGTAAACTATTGGATCTGGATTATCGAAGTTAAGGTCTGGCTTGGGAGGGTGTTGAAACAGTGGTAGAGCATGTGGAATATAGTTTTTCATATTTTGGTTGATATACCGGGTGTCCCACCGAAAACTGTCAGTGGCCTATATCTTAAAAACGGTAATTGACAAAAAAAAAGAAAAACCCGTTTGGAGGCTTGGAAGGGGGAACCAAAACAAGGTAGACGGTAAAAAAGGTTAAACTCAAAATCTTGAATGGCACTATAGGTCATGTGATACCTAGGAAGATATATTTATTAATTATTTGAAATTATGTAAAGTCCTTATTTGAAAGATAGTATGGTTTCCTTTTTTTTTTCCTTACATGTTACATACTTCCTAACCGGGTCCACCTGTGTTTTGTTGAAGTTTGAGAGTGTCCTGCATAGACCCCAAATTGGCACTTGGAAATCCGGAATGTAAGTCCAGCTTTTCTGAAAGAATTCAACACCTCTCCCAAATTATGCACAGTGGCCGGATCCTCGGGCCAGGGAGTAGAGCTCCCCGATAGAACGAATGTTTCGGCCTTGTCAACGTTATCGAAAAGTGAACAGGAATGATAAAGACGAAAAATTTGTTCTCTCGGGGAGCCCTACTCCCTGGCCCGAGGATCGGCCACCAGGTGGCCGATCCTCGGGCCAGGGAGTAGAGCTTCCCGATAGAACGAATGTTTTGTCCTTGTCAACCTAATCGAAAAGTAAACGAGAATGATAAAGACGAAAATTTTGTTCTCTCGGGAAGTTCCACTCCCTGGCTCGAGGATCGGCCCGCTGGACGAGAAGCGAGTCTCCATGTGTTTATCCTTTGTTGCTGGATTTTCTTTTTCCTGTATCGTTAGTTAGGTTTAGGTAATTGTGAATGGTTAGCTAAAGTTTAAATTTTTGAATATTCTTTTGGCTACCGTTGGAGTGGCGGTTCGGGAAGAGAAGAGCTGACAAGTACCTTGTTTTGGTTCCCCCTTCCAACTTTCCAAACGGGGTTTTTCTTTTTTATCGATTACCGTTTTCAAGATATAGTCTATTGACAGTTTTCGATGGGACACCTGGTATGTATATAGGTTATAATTTTGGGTTAATTTTTAGGTACATATACCAAGCTTATGCTTCCGTTAAACCGGTTTATCCGCTAAAACGTTTTCGAACTTAAAAAGTTTTATCCTGTGTTTATACCTCTATGGGGCTTTTCCCAAAGCAGTTTTTAAATGTCATAACATGCTGGCAGTCGCTTAAACGGTTTGATATATTTACGCAGTATTTAAACTGTTTTCAAATCGGTTGAAGAACGTTTTCGAAACGTTTTCAATCAAAAGGGTTTAACGAGATAAAACGGTTTATGGGGTGTTTATACAAGCGTTTTATAGTAAAACGTTTTCTGTTAAAACGGTTTAACGGGCAGCATAAACATAGTAGGTATAGTGTATGGATTTGGTCAATATTTTGGGAAATAACCATCGCACTATGATTAAGAGCTTTGGATGATTTATTTGCTTTATTTTAAACGTTTTCGCATCGAGTGTGGATCAGCTTAGAGTGTTATTAATTGAAAATACATTAAAATAAACAAAAATAATTTATTTACAACTATATGATATTAAAGCCTAAAAAAATCGTAGTACCTGGTGACGTTTATTTCCGGATTCTTGAGTGGTTTGTGTATGAGGGATATATCCATTCAGGGTGAGGCTAGATGGAGACGAAGTTGGTGTGAATAACCTACAAGAAATAACGTTATTATTTAAAGGTTATCTAAAATTGAATGTTGGTTTATGGGAGAAAATGGGGGAGCAACAGCTACTTTATTCTTCAAAACAGTGGCGAGATAATGGTGACTTATCTTTGACTGGTTTTCTCACAGCCACATTTCAGCAGCGTTGGTGATTTATAAGTGTTTGCGTTAAAACCTTTCTACGATACATTTAGCATTTACGTAACATGTTCCATCTCTTAAATAAAGTTGTATTTTTCCCATTTCAAAATCAGCAAAATAATAATTCCTAATAATCTAAAAATATCCACAAAGTTCAAAATAATTCCAGTGCTGCTATCTATCCATCTGCGTGAAATGCAGGTGTCTAGAATTCATTTACCAGTGCTGCCATCTAGTACCGGATGAGTTTTTTTTTTTTTGTAATTGTGATAGTTTTCCTCAACTATGTCTAATATTTTTATTTGACAGTCATTTGTATTTTCATTCAAAGAAATTATATTTATCTCACTTTTAGCAAATGGATATATTTCTGTCTTTCTCTAACTTCTGATTCTGAAATAATCATTTTTGGCTTAAGGCCGCATTAATGGCCACCATGTTTAAATTTAGTTTTTGAAAATGACGACTGCGTCACTCTACACCACAAAACATCCCCCCTTAGAAATGTAAGTCTTATGAGAGACGTCAGTCTAGTCGATTCAGCTTTCCCCTCCAATCACTAGAGGCGCTTCAATCAACCTATTAAAGTTTTCTTTTTCCTGCCGGACCGTGCGCCAAGATTTGAAGTTTATTTTGTCATTTCCAGTCGTCAAAATTTAAATTTTGAACTTCTCCCAACATTTAGAATTATCAATTACCTATCAATTATCAATAATTATTATCTCAAAATGTCTCCTCCCAGTTTGTTAATTGAAAAGCATCAGAAATGCTGTGTTCCGGGGTGCGGCGACAAATACAGCAGCTATTTCCGGTTTCCAAAAGATGCCGAAAAAATGAAACAATGGCTAGAAAAAGTTCGCAATCCTTTACTAAATAGCCTCAGTGTCGAGAAGGCTTATAATAATTATAGAGCGTGAACAAGACATTTTCCTCGAGAATTTATTGTTGGCGATCCAAAAGCCAGACGAGGACTCACATGGAATGCTGCGCTTTTGCTGTATCTCCCTGAAGGTAAGTTAATACTAGATATATGTGAGAAAGACGTACTTACATTTTCACTTATTCCTCCCCATAGTTCTGATTAACGACAACGTGTTAGAATTCGGGTTTAAAGGAGCATAGGTCAGAAACATTAAAATTAATTTTAATTTTAGCCCCAATTATCAAAAACAGTAAGGAGTCGTTAATTGATAAACCACAATCACCAAAATGGCAAAAAGTGGAGATCGACACAGTTGAAACTCGTCGAAGAGTCCTAAGACGCCTTCAGAAATTAGTTTCGCAACTATGATTGACATAGGTAGGTAAACATAATAACTCTGTTCCAACACGTCAAAAAATCGTCCCATGAACGGTTTCGAAACCACTCAGTATAACAATTTTAGTTTCTGCGCAGAATCGTGACGGTACATTGTACGGTTTTCTGCTGTGTTGGAACAAAGCTAATATTATTCATTTCTTTTTTTTAAATGTTTATTCCTTTATCAGGAGACACAATAATTAAAATATTCCTGGTTACATACAGGTACACCATATTCTACAATGCATGTATCCAAACTTTTTTGGTAGAATCGTTGGTAACGAAATTTCTGTTTTAGATCAACCAGGCCCTTCATGTCGTCAATTTTTATCTACTGAAACTTCTGCAATTCGGGCAGACATTGCTACACCAAGTGGAACCATCACATCTGCAAACATGAAAAAGTCACCAACCCACTTTGTCTCTTAAAACTTTTATTGGTAGGTACCTAAGTGTTATTGCTTAATGAATAACCACCCAGTTGGGAGTAGGTGAATTTTAAAACATCCTAACTCAAATAGGACTACTACTATAAAAGACTACTAATTACTAAAACTTGCAGTCGAATGCTAGAAAAATTAGAAGCTAAATGTGCGAAAAGCTCGTCTCCAATCTTGATCTATTTTTTTTTTGCAGGTCATGAGAGACGATGCCAAATTTTAAAGAACATTAACGTCACTAGGCAAAAAATTCCTATCCCCAAGGGAAAAATATCTTTATTCCAAAGTTATAGAATCCAGCAATAAGTTAAGAAGAATCAGTAGAAGGTTGTCGTCATTTAAATCCAAAGTTTCTACTGCTGAATAACTTGCATCATAAACCAAATTTCAAAGGCTCGTAGACCACGTCAATCCATTGATATACAGCTTTATTTTAAGCCAAGTCCGTACTCAAAACCAAAAGCCTAAAGCTAGACGATTTACATTGGACGAGAAGTTGTTGGCGTTGTCTTTGCTTAAAGCTAGTGGTAAAGGGTATAGACTATTATCAAAAATATTTATTCTATCATCCAGGCGAAATCATTTTCTTGAATGAGCTTTATATTATGTATAACTACATAAACTTTCTACCTAACACATGCGGAAAGTGTATTTTCTGGACTTAAAGGCTTGTTTGAACTCTGCTTTTTGTTGTCATTCGTGCAACTTCCATCACGTGCAGAAACACTTTCCTCACTTGTTAGGTTAACAACGATTTTGGATTGTGAGAAAAGGACCTCTTTTGTCATTTTATTTACGATTTAAGTTTTTCATCAAGCTATTGTTAAATGTACGTCATTACTTCTTGTAACTGTCCTTATTATCTTTAACTTAACTAGCATTACCTACCTATGTATGTATACTTACATGAAAAAAAACTGTTTCGCAATAATTGTAATTAATTCCATATTCTTTAATATTTTCTGTTTCAAACTTTAATAAATATCTAAATTTGTCATCTTAATTTTTAGTCAATTTTACCTTGAAGGCGCTTCAACACTACCGATTTTATGAGTTTCTTCTTTTTGGCACAATTATTTTATGCCAAAAAATGGTAGAAACTTTAAAGTGGTGGTGTTGAATCGCTAGAATCAAACAATGGTGCAAACGATCCACCGGAACAAATAAGATACCGAACGAACCCTAATTGCGTTTTGCATTCGCCAATAAATCCAGAATTACAAAAGCTTACCCCCCCAGTCACTAGAGGCGCTGAAAACTTATAGACAGGTACTCAACACGGCACTTACCTTTCTAAGGGGGGATGTTTTGTGCTCTACACATAGGGTTGTAACATTTTAATTTTGCTCTTCCCATTAAATGAGTAATTCAGCGTTTTAACTGGTAACACACAAATATTATTTTAGAGCTGACTTAATTGATTGGATATTAATTACCTTACTCTGCATCTTTTTAGATAATTTCAGGCACAGCCAGACAAGATTTTGCTCCTTATCATTTGTCTAATGATTTAGTTGACCATTGCAGATGAATATTTATTGAACAATGCCTGGTTATCTTATTCTTGTTGTCCTTAAAAGGAATATACATAAATTATCAATTTCATTAGTCGATAGCCAACATTGTTTTGTTTTGCATTGTTTTCAAATAAAAAGGGGTTATGTCCAGTTAATTGTCATTCAATTTTTATTTTCGCGCCAGCTCTTTTCGAAGGATTAATTCCTTTAGTTTTCACTCCCTCTCTGTCTCTCTCTTACTGGAGGATTTCATTTCTTTTATTTACCTGTTATCGAGTACCTATATCGATCAATTTGCTGGTGCTTTGGTTTTGATCGCGTAGGGTTGGGTTTTTCTATAAATGTCGATATAATTGGTGTCGTGTTAGAGAAGGCATGGACAATATTATTTAATAAGTGAAGTTATTTATAGATTCTAACAAGAATAGTGTTTTCCTGATTTGTGTGGATTGAGTCGGTTCCATTTGTTGAGTCTCTTTGGAGGTTTCGCTGACGAGTATCGATATCTTTGTCGTTATCTTTCAATCCTTCCTAAAGTGTGGAATGTGGAATTCGATAGAAAAAAATGTAACATAAAAAAAAGTTAGTGCGTAGAAATTTCTGGTTTAGGGTCCCAAAAATCGTACAACGGTCTTTTCCATTTCGTCCAGCGACAAGAACACTTTGGCTTTGGCCTGAAGGATAGTTTTTTTATCCGGTTGACCATAAAGAAAATTAAGTGATTTTCTCTATTTAATTAGGATCCGGTCATCCAGATAATTTCAATTTTGGTTTTGCCAGTCTAGTTTTGGTTTTTGTTACCTTTTGGCAGCCAAATCACCTTTCTAAGGGATTTGTCTATTTCTTCTAGTCGGTAAGTCCACCATTTTGTGAATTTGTTTTATTGTAAATTAATTAGTTCTATTCTCCCAATAGAATATCACATCACGTCGCTTGGATTGAATTGTTTGAGCCTAGACTCTTAGAGCCTTGATTTTATTGTTGCTCGTTATTGTGAACTTCCAAATTGGATCAGCCAGCGTAGGTGAAATTAGAGTTCCATGACCTTCCGTTCACCTTCAACCTTTGAGCTGTGACCCTCAAAAATCCACGAGGTAATTATAATGGCAATTTTCCATTTTAATGTTTTATTGGGGGACCATTCTATGCCGCATTGATTGGTAGACTTATAGTTTTTTTTATTTAAATATATTTTTTTTTTTGGCAATGCAACTTATTTGATGAATTGAACTCATTATATTTAGTAAATGGGTTAAAACTTGGGAATTGAAATGTACAATTTCATATCCCAAGTGGCATAATTTCAATGGGGATTTAAGGGTAATTTATTTACTCATTGGTGCTTTCTTTAGGGTCTTATGGTACGGTTTTATGCTACCGTTTTCGATAACGCAACTCAGTGGATGTTTTGATGGTATGCAGTACCCACCACTGTATCTGAATAGCAAAGACTCGGCGAACTAGTTTTCATTGATGAGATAGATCATCTGGTACGTGTGTGAAATCCCAGACCCATTGTTAATTGTCGGCATAAAGCTAAGTAGTTTAGTGTAATTTTTTTTATTAATTATTTAAAAATATCGTATATG